TGAGGGGTAGAAAGCAAAAGTGCCACCACATAAATATGGTTACATCATCTCGCAACAAAGGACGTTAAACATGGCTGTCATTTGGCAACTTAACATGACCAATGAAGTTCATAGGACCCAGAAGAAAACGTTGTGGATAAAGAGTCTCAGCTACTCGAATAATAGATGATTGGTCTAGCATGTGTGGCATCTCCAGAGTACTGATGGCTGCCTGAGGCTTTTTACTAGGGGCTGATACATTATAGATTATTGCCCAAGATTATCAATAAATATTAGAATCAGCTTACACCAGAAAAACTCTGACCCTTCTTGTAATTCTGCTAGGTTATTATGGGACAAAAATCATTCCATTTTATGAGGTGATACAGTTTATTGATTGTTCAAACACTCTGTGGAGCCTTCCAGTGCAGGTTTATTTAGCCAATTAACTGAAGATCACGTATGCTTTACATTACGACTACTGTTTTCCAAAATATTCATTGTGTCATTGTGTCTTAGATTGTTCTGTATTTTCTCCTGTATTGTGTGATCCACAATTCTCATGAACCCTTTAAACAGTCAATATGTGATTTTGTTTGATTATAATATGATATACATGCTTTATCTACACAGGTTGAAATGTCCTTTTCAATGAAATGTCCCACAGTTTTTTTCTTTTTTTGCTTTGTGTTTTTAAGGCCAAAGTCACTCTACGCTATTATGCATTCCATACAATGTTATGTAGTTTTACTGATTTGGGCAAAATTGTGAGAACAAAGATATAGCGTAGTTACGCAGTTAAGCCAAATAATTCATAATGCATAATAAGCATGCACTGCTGTCTGCCTTTTTTGATACCACCTCATAAAAAGTTCAAATTCTACACTTTGTATCTTGCAAAGATCTTATAGATATTCTGACAGCAGTTAGTCAGTAACCTTTGCAAGACAAGACACTAACAATAATATCAATAAGTATCTAACAAACAACAAATCATAGACGGGTGTTTTCAGGATTCTCTGATAATGATCAATTTAGTTTTCGTAATATTTAACTGGGGTCAAACTACATACCAAACTTAGTCATTCTTTAAAAGGCAAAGTTAGCACACATTGATATGAGTATCACCACAGACTGAAAATATTTTTTAAAGTAACTAGTTACAATCTTATTCCAAAGGACATATTGTATTTTATGTTTTTCTCATGGTTTTATAGAACATGCTAGCTTTTCCAACATGCTAACATTACCTTTTAGCTAATGGCAAGCAGGTTAGCAAAGTATTCATTTAGTTAGATTAGCATAGTTGTACTTTCACAGCAATTTTTACATTTCATTAAGTTAATGCTACATAAATTCTGAATAAGGGAACTGATGTTTTCTAATCTGGTTCAATACATTTCTTAAGAAAAATAACTTTATTGAAGCAGTTCATTTCTGTAAGCGAACACTGTTAATCTGGCTGAGTGATGATGACTCACTGCAGTTGTAGAGATGGTTGAGCTTGGTGAGGTCACTAGCACTGAACCCCATCCTCTGACCAATCACGTCCATGAAGTGGGGGATCTTGGTGACGATGGTGGGCTCAGAGCCGATGTTGAAGGACGTCTTACTGTAGTGCATTACAGAGCCGTAGTCATAGGCAACGCCCAGAGCACTGGACACTGTGTCATCGTATGTTTTGAAGTTGTGTTCTTTCCCTGAGGAAGGTATAATGGGAATATCAGGAAGAATTCAGCCCTTTGTTTTTGGATGGATGGAATGTACAAGCAACTGCCCACTGTGTTGTGTAAAAGTGTATTCCGCAGGCACGCATGAGGAGAAAAACATAGAAGATAATAGTTACTATGCAGTTTGTCATTTATAAGTGTAGGATTTAGTAACATCTACCATTGTAGTTGCAGGTCGCGTCACCGGTTCACAGAATATACACTAATTTAAAGCTGCAATAGGTAACTTTTATAAAAAATAACTTTTTGTCATTTTTTCTGAAATTGTTACTATATTCTGACAGTTGTACAGCAGTAAAAATGAAAAAAAATAAGTTTTATAAAAATGACCTACTGCAGCTTTAAGTTTTGAGCTGTAATTCTAGGTGTTACAGGTCAGTGTTACCAGGTTCAATGCGATCCCACATGATGTTGACGTAGTCATCACGGTCAGCTCTAGACTGCTCGTGCCAAAAGCCCAACGCGTGCAGGAACTCATGCTCCACGGTTCCTAGACGATCACAGTTATTACCAATGGACAGCCGCTGTTTCCCCACACGCTGATTGCCTACAGAGGAGAAGCATCTACAGGGAAGGGAAGTGAAATGCACTTTTCAGCCCTGGAGAAAAGGACAGCATTCATACGATGACAAATACACCTGCAGCTCTCCCAGCTTTGGCTCAGAACCTGCATCAGTATCAGAGAATGCTATTTATGCACGAACCTTGAGTAATACACTAGTCTATTACACTGGGGCTTAATATTGCACATGTTTTTGGTATCTGTGGGCTTAAAACTGTAATAATGATTTTTTTGGCCACTAGGGTACAGCAGATCAAGCTGTAAATAAACCACTGGTCTATATCATCTTTTAGTCCAGTGCTCTCCATTTGACTCTGTTTTGGACTCCAAAGAGATATATCTTGCCGCTGAATGCTCCACTGTGTTCACCTGCTAACTTAATTTGTCGGTAGCTAGCATATAGAGCATGATCATTGAAAACAGCTGCATTCTGCGGCTGGAAACAGGGTTGATTAAAGAGTGAGACTGAACCAAAGCAGTAAAGTTGCGGGCTGTAAAACCAAAACAGTGAGATACTCTGAGTTGGCTCACCCGCTCCCTTTGAACACAGAGATGTAGTTCTCCTCTCCCTTCCATGGTGTGAAGTCAATGCAGGTCTTCAGTCTGTACTGGTCAAATGCCTTCAGGATCACTCCCTTTGCATTCATGTCTACATGTTGTAAAGTAAGACAAAGAAACATGAAAAAGCATCCAAACTTGGTGCGTATTCATATTAACATAATAAGTGGATATGAGTATCCATAACACTGTCTTACCCAGACTGTCCTCTAGGTAGTAGGGAATGGTTTTTGGCCAGCGATACTTCTCTCCTAAAATGGAGTTTCTGCTGGAAGTCTGATGGGAATGAACAGCACAGACTTAAACAGACTGACTAGGTGATATAACTGTACCCCTGTGTTAAAGTTTTCCTTGATTAGTTATTATTATTATTATTTCCTTTCAGGGATGAGGGTAATCCGTCCTTCCTAGGGTATTCCTGTTTGTAAGCTTGGAGTTCTGAAAGTACTTGCTATCTGGGGATTTACACAGTCTTTCAAAACAATCATACTTTAAAATTACAAATAATACATAATAATTTGCATTACATATTACATTGGATAGTGCATTTGCATCGCTTTAGTTCCTGCATATACTGCTCAAATATGGAATGCCAAATGGAACACTTTGAGCGCAACAAAATATGTGTTGAACAGATTGTAAAGCCTCCTGAGTTTTGATTTTGGGCTATATAAATAAAAAATTTTAGAACTGTAAAATGTAGTTTATGTGTGTGCAAAAAGGTCACATCACGTGCCCAGAATTTAGACACAAATATAATGCCATGACAAAATAAGGCTGAATGTTCAGATCACTAGGAGGAGCAGCCTTTGGTCTTTGGAGTCTTTGCTGTCTGTGCACTCTAGCTTACTTCCTCCTGTTGGATATCTCCCTCCAGCAGGTCCAGCCCCGCCGCTGCAAAGGATAATAATGTACTGGTTGATGAAAATCCTCAGAGACGCAGACAGATTATACAACAAAGCAAAATAAAAGTTCACAAACCTTCATTGATGTTAAAGATGTCCCAGTCATGGCCTTCATCAACATCAGTCTCTGTTGATGTAAAATCAATAATATGTTGTTTAGAAATACTATTAGAGGAGGTATAAAAGCATCATATTAATATAATTATTATTGTACTGTGTACTTGGTACAATTAGCACTGAGCCCTCCCTGCCTTAAAGCTTATTTATTCTTGTATTTCAATTGAGAAATGCTGCTGTGTGACTGTATTTTAAGATTTGAAATGGACTTCCAAGTGGTTCTGAGTAACAGGCCTTTAAACATAGAGGTACAGATTTCCTTTAGGTGTGGCTGACACCTTAGACACTGAAATACACTCACTGGGGAAGCAGGAAATTCTGAGTTACAGCTTACCCTGTTGATCTGAATGTACAATTTAAGTACATGAATGTTGTGGTGGGAATTATGTATTTTCTTACAGAGAAATGAATAACGATGACACAACAAATTGTTAATAGAGGAGTAACAGAGTCAATCTATGTCAGCTGAGATGACAGAACACAGGTTAATTCTGTCTACCTTTTGACAATAATTAAAACAAAAAACATGTAACTCACCTGTATCCCCCGTTAGCTTAGCTGATACCTAGAATACATTTAAACTTGAATTAATCACTAGGGAACATCAATGACTGTTTTGCACCAGAGATATTATATATGGATGCAAACACCTACCAGTCCCAGGCCAAAGAACACAATGATCCACCTGAGTGCCATGGCTCCAGCTGCAGACACACACTCACACTCACTGTGTTCGTCCTGCTGTATCTGAAGAAATGTCGTAGCTTTGTTTTTGTAGAGAAGAAGAAATGCTGCAGTGCACACAACTTTCACATGATCTGATCAGTTTTATGGCTCAGGTTGAAAGGGATTACATGGCTGTCAAATTAATTATTAATTTATTATTCATGATTAGCTTATCTAAGTATGTAGCCACACTGATAAACATACTCAGCTTCAAACATATTGTACACACACACACACACACACACACACACACAGACCTTTATCAGTGGGAACATTACATCACGACTGCATGGGGTATATGGGGTATGTATTTTTTATTTTCTTGTTCAATCAATTCAAACTGAAATTTGGCAGGTTGTCATGATGAATAATTTTTAACCTGAAACACGGTTCAGAGTTTGTCAGCCTTTTGTACATATGGAGGACAATGACCTATGGTGATGGAGAGAAAAGCAAATTACTTGATTACTTACCTACTTAAGCAGTTTGGTAGGGTAACTAAAGGGCTGAATAAATAAAGGAGAAATACTGACTCCTTTATTTTTACAGTTTTATCCCAAAAAATAATTAAAAAGAAAGTTGGGGGAGGCAGCTTACGGGGACTTTTAGGGGCTTCAAGCTTCTACATCACACTTGCATATGTTGCATATTGGACCAGATATTGCATGGTTTATGGCATATTTTTTTATATTTACTAATCTTAGATTATTATTTAAGATATAAACAGGATATGGGTATGGTGAAGACCTGAACACAAGCTGTATTCACAGAGGCTTTAATTTCGGATAAACAGTCTCGTCCTGCATCAGAAAAGATCAAACAAACAAAAAGCTAATAGAATAATCAAATCACTAATTTTACACAAACCATCTGCAGTTATTGTGTTCACTGTTTGGGCTCATTGTACAGTTTATCAGTTGTTCTGTATGCATTAAATATTATATGAAATATCTATCTATAAAATCACTTAGTCAGCGGTAATCAGTTTACTCAATGAAAGAAAAGGGGTCCCGTTAGGAAAAAGGTTTGGAACCACTGGTTTACAAATGCTATGTACTTGATAGGAACCTTGCATCCTCGATCTATGATGATGCAGACCATCCAGCCAATCACTGGGCTTGTCAAATCATCATCAAAAGTTTACATAATCCAAATGGTATGATATCAAACTGAGACACCATCAAAATAAGTATAATAAGGCTCAAACATCATTATCAAGATGCAACAGGCACATTGTGTTTATTTGATAGTACAATCATTCATGTAACAAAACATGTTTGGATAGAAAATTTGAAATCAATCACAGACAGCATGGGTGTGATGTGTGGAGCTGTGAGTAAGCACTGCCCAGCCCGATTAAGATCAGTTTTATTGGTTTTCCCTTTTGGAGGCGCTTTCCTTAATTGCTCCTCATGATGCACCGTATGCATAACACTGCTTCTGGAAGGATGCCACCAACCACTTCAGCCTCATTGAATGAGTCAGCATAAAGACTTTCTAATATCAGAGCAGTGGTTGGTAAACCGTCTCTACATGCAGTAGGACACAAACAGCCAATTCTATAGTCCTAAGGCACAGGTAGGCTACAGTAAAGCCTTAGCAGCCCTTGTTACACTAGGGACTCAGTTAGCCCAAAATGCACTTTTTGGTACCAGGCTACAGTTTAAAAAAGATCTCTAAACTAATAGTTCGACATTTTGGAAAACACACATTCACTTTCTTGCAGAGAGTCTGAAGAAGATTGATACCATGCAATGATTGTATGCTAAATGTGAAGCTACAGCTAGCATCCTGCTAAGGTAGTTTAGCACAAGCAAGATATATAGTCTTAATTAGTGAGCTTTAGAGTTGCTGGTATAGGCAGGTTGTGTTACCTTTGGAAAGAGCCAGGCTAGCTGTTTCCCTCCATCCTTCTAGTTTTTGTGCTAAGCTAAGCTAATCGGCTGCTGGCTATAGCTACATATTTAATGGACAGAAGCTAGAGTGGTATCGATCTTCTCATCTAACTCTTGGGAACAAAGCGGATAAGCGTTTTTTCCTAAAAAAACAACTAGCTTTGTAAAGTTATAGAACGCAGAATAGGTACTTAAAAAAATCCTGTCACATTTGTACAAATCCTACTGACTGGCCAAAAAAAAAAAAGGAAATTGATAGTCAAAGATTGTTACTGGGCGTCAACCACCAGCAGGCCGAACTGTTGTCGGGCTCCAAACCAACATGGGTTTATCTTCAAACCTGCATATTGACCCGGTCTCAAAAATATATGCTTGTCTGTCTGACTGCTTTCAGATAATTGCTGAGACATGTCTTCATGAATCCCATCATTACAGCTATCACAGAGAGACAACCAACAACTGTCCCCCCTCATTGTCTTTCACTCTTGGCCCAGTGAAGATGCTTCAGTTGTCCCTGTGTCCAATTAAGTGGAACTTCCCTTCAACTGAACCTTCCCTTTCACCTGTTAATGCGGCTCAGTCGCTCACTCATAATGGACAGGTACTGGGTCAGCTTCACCATGGCAATGATGATGGTTCCCCCAAGCAAGGTGAAGGTTGGCCAGAACAGGGAGTGGAAGACTGCGACCTGGCCGTAGATCTGTGTCAGGATTGCATTGTCCGCTCTGTCTCTTGGGTCCACGAAACACTGGACAATGTGCTGAAACTTGAGACGCTCAGAAATGTTCTGAACTATTGCATGTGTGGCTGCATAGTCCTTTCGACACTTTGGGGTGTAGAAGCACTGAAGGAAAGAATACAGAAAATCTGTTGCATACTGCCACAAATAACAGCTTAAGTAACTACCAATACTTAGGTATAAGATACAAAGCTACATAGAGAAATATGTGTTTCAAAGACAGCAGTTAGAACTATTAGGGAACAGGACACAGGAGCAACACTATCAGTTGATTACCTCAGGATTGCTGTCCTGGGTGTCCTCGTTGTGCAACAGTCGTACCACCTTTCCTGAGGAGTTGAGGCTGACGTAGACCTGGAGACAGGGGTAACGGGAACTCTTCCAGCACTCTGCTCCACAGCTGTATGAACAGTTTACATCCCACACGATGGTGGAGTTCACGATAGTGCAGCTAGCCTCATCCGTCCATACACTGTAGAGGATGAGTAATTATTTCCAATGCATGCTACAAGCACACTTGGAATGATTTCAGTGCGTAGTTAGTCACTGTGTGTGAATATGCAGATGAGTTTTGAATCAATAATCACACAAACAAAGAACATTCACGCAACAGTCTGTAAGTGACATTGTGACTTATTACCTGTCAGAGTAAGAGCGCAGTATGGTGATTCCCAGGACAAAGTACATCATGACAGAGATAAAGACCATGCTAAGACCCAGCAGTATGGCTCTGTCCTCTCCTGCCCTCAGAGCTGTTACTGTCTTTCTCTTGTCCAGGACCTCATATTCACGAATCTTCTGGTAAATGGATCTGAAAAAGGTAAACATTAAGATGTGCCTCAACAGTTTAAACAGCCATCTCAGTCTGTAGTTGTCTACAAAATGGAGAACTGTGTGCTGAGACCTGAGAAGCTCAGAAATGTAAAAGAAAGAAACTATTGCATGGGTGATTGCCTATTGTGTTTAATATTTGAGTAGTTTAATCTTAAAGCAGCTAAGGCTGTACAGAATAGTTCATTCATAATGTTGACATTTAAATTCTAAATCAACATTCAAATTGTGCTAAGAACATAGCAACCAAGTAACATCGCTCTCTCCTCCATGCGCTGCCTGTGTCACTGATGTATAAAGAGCAAAATTACTAATTTAATCCAATTAATCACTTTATTCAATTTGAGGATTTTGTTGAACTTTTTTTTTTTTAAGGGTGATGGGGGTCATAAAATATGACGACAAACATTCAAAAGCTAAGGAAGCTCAGCACTATAGAAGGCTGACGGGAGTGATAACACCCCAGTCTGAGTTGCTGAAGTTTGAGTTAAAACATGAGACATTTTGGCATCACAATGCTGGATACCTGTGATTTCTTTTAATGCATGTGTCTGGCTGCTAGATACTTTATAGAACCCTTAGCTGCTTATAAGACAGTTTGCTACATGGGATCCTCAGATTAAGCCTTGCTAGTTGTTCCTAAGGTGATCCTTAAGACTAAATGTGTGTACCCCCTGGGCTCCGGGACAAACCCTTCTTTAAAAGACTTCTTTTAAACAACTTCTGAAAGCCAGTGTCTGTAGACTGGCTCACTGTTATTTTTGTTACAGCTTTGAATACGAATACTATTCATCTTTTATTTTTAAATGCAAGTGGTGTATGTTATATTTATCTTAATGTCTGCAATTTAATTAGATCAGCTTGACTTTTATTATTCTCATGTTTCTAACTATTATTATACATGACATTATGTACTCTCCTTCAGCTCTTGAATTTACTGACACTTTCACTATTTATACTCCAACTATCTCTGGCACTTTATCTGCTTTCGTCACTGCACTTAAACTGATGACTGAAGTGCATTCATCTCATCTCTTACTCTTCAACTGACAGTTTAACTGACCTTTCAACTCATTTTTACCCTTCAACTGACAAATATTTCAACGGTTAGATAGATGCACATTTCTTACTTCAACTTGCAGCTCAACTTCTTTCAATGCTTTATTCTCCCAATATTAGGTCAATTCATATTCAGCATCTCATTAGCAAACAAGTCATATTTTAAGACATTTTAAGAGGCCTAGATTTTCTTCAGTAAATGAAGTCATACAAGGTATAATGGATGAGACAATAGAGGCTCTTGCTTTAACAGCGGACAAAGTGAAATCACAATTACAGCCACACTGTAAACGTCACATAAATTGGGTAGGGATTATTGATGTGTATGTATGCATGTGTGCATATGCCAACATGTATTTTATTTATTTATTTGTATGCATTTCCTGTAGTTAAATTTAAGGGGTTAAAATGGGATATAAAAGGTGTAAAAAAATAATGTATACATGAGCTTCACTGATAATTTCCTAGTGACTCTCAATACCTGCGGTCATGTTGTCCATCTGTTGCTTTACTTCCTGCCCACAGGAACATTGTAGGTGAAGAATTAGGGAATTGTAGTCCACCGTTGCTGCCAGAGGGGATGACCCACCTGCAAGGTAGATTATACTGTCAAAAACCCTATGGACCCCACAGGATCTAACTTCTGTTGGCCAGACTAGCAACTACAATGCTCCCATACATGTGTAGTTCAGTCAGGGACATTTAAAAGCTAAATATACTAGTAAATAGGTTATCAACCAGGATTAAAACATCATGTCTACAACAGCAGTAGTGCAGCCACATAACTACAATACACTATTATATTGATTCCCTGATTTATTTTGAACAAGAGGACAATGGGGAGCCCGCATCCTTCCAGTCATTCCAAAATCCTAATGGCTGAAGGCTCGGCTTACACGTTGCATGCCCCACAAAAAAGGTTAAACTCTATGCATGGAAATATAGATATATAGAATATAGATTCCAAAATAAAGAACAAGGAGATTAGGTGCCTATCTGTGATGCAATAAATACATGTTTCCTAACAAAATGTAAGGTAAAGTGATTCCAGCATTTAGTGCCATTTTAAAAGTACTAAGATTTACATTTTACATTATTAATTATGAATGTTGTAATATTTATTGTGTATTGCCTTTATTTTGGCCAACAACAATACTGCATATATAGGTTGTACTAGAGTGTACAGAATGTAGATACCATCAAAGAGGCAAAAACAGCCCCAGCTGGTTGTCAAGATGCATGTCGTCACTGAGCTGACCATGCATGACCCTCACAATTATTTACAACCCAGGTTTAACATGTCTCTTTCATCAGTCATCAATAAGTGTCACACTCACTCTGAGAGGTCACAGTATTGCCAGCCCTGGTGTGTGTGTGTGTGTGTGTGTGTGTGTGGACTGTATGTGCATATAGTTGTAGTTCAGAGAAACAGGCTTCTCCAATGCAAGCTGTTCACTGTGGTTATAATAATATGTAATATGTTTCTTTCCGAAATCACATCTCACATTCAATACCTGTACAGTGTAAACTTGTTTCTCTGTGTGAGATATTTACTTGATTTCCCTGTGATTGTGTATAATCCAGGAAATCAGAAATCAGCCCTTTATTTGCCTCGAACAAGAATGATTTTGCCTGTGTGCAAAACCAATCCTTCAAACCATATTATATGCTATACACTTATTTGTTTTTAACCTGGATTTAAAGGCCTACTAGGGAAGGGGACTCCAAATTAGCTTCAGTTACACACCCACAATACATTACACCTGTTGCATTGTTTTTTCCCTCCCTATGTATCTGTACTGTCCTTAAATAAACTAACAAATAGAATAAATTATGACATAGTCATGATTTCCAAAATTTGCCTGCCGTACCATATACCATATACCATACCCAACCTGGGGTCACTTGTGGGGTCACAAGGTCTTCTTCTTTTTTAAGGGGTGTGGGTAAAATTTATAGGCCTATATTTCAGCATTTCATTCATTTCTTTGAAGAAAATGAAATTAAATAGTTATTTTTAAAGTTTAGATAACATATAAGCACTGCCATATACAATAAAATGATATATGTAAACTACTATTAAATCAAACTATAAAAAGTCAGACTCGGTCTTCCACAGGCCAGAGAGGAGCCCTCATCACTGCCAAGGGGGTCTCGGAGGTACGCAGCAAAGCGCACCAGCGGGGGCACTGCGGCCTGTTGGTACTGTCGCTGATTCCACCCCTTCAGTCCACCCTTAATAGGGCCCCGCCAGCCGCTCTGAGGCGGTTTGGATGCGCACAGGTGCAACAGCGGGAGTTTTTGAAGCTCGCAGCTTGTCTGCGGTATCTCTGTTTACCTCGCTGTTTGTACTCACTCTAAAAATTTACAAGAAAATAAAGTCCCGAGAGCAGAGGAACCATCTTCTTCCCACTCAACAACTCAACCCTTCATGTCTGACAGAGTCCTGCTGTTAGCTCTACGGCCAAACAGGTGGACATGTTAGCTAGCAGCAGCAGCAGCACACTTAGACATTAACGTTACATTACACTTATGAATGGATTTGTGGAGACAAATATCTTTAAATACGTATTTAATTTTTGAATACAATCATGTTGATTTAAGAAATCTTGTAAGCCATTGTTTTACTACAGAATTTTTCATTGAATGTAAATAAGCAGAAATAAGTAGCCAACTAGTGTAACATACTGTAACATGCCGTCCTCCCCACCTGCCACCTGTGCAGGCTGTATGGCTGTGTGGCAATATGGCCATCCAGCATCACTGAATATCAAATGCTGAATGCTCGCTAGTTTAACCTGACTTTTTTAATCCTTTATCTGATCATGGTTCTGAAATAGCAAGAGTTGTGATTAGGGACGGCACTGTATACGATATTATTGCTCATAGCCATAACTTTCCTCTTTCCATTATTGTGATAATCTTGAATATCTTTCAGTCATTCCAAAATCCTAATCCTATCACTGTGGCTGAAGGCTCGGCTTCCCCGTTGGATGTTAATCCGAATGTTTGGAAATAGTATGGTTCCTATCTGTGATACAATATGTTTCTTAACAAACTGTAAGATCAAGTGATTCCAGCATGTTTTGGTGCCATTTTAAAAGTATTAAGTATGTCCATGGTGGTGAAATAGAACACCTCAGTGTAATCTGCATTTCTCTCCGTCCTGCCGTCCCAGCCTATAGGCTGTCCAAGGGCCCACTACAGGTGCTTGCCCCCTCTGCTCTTGGCTCCGTGCCTGTTCTGTCTTTTAAGTGCACCCATAAAGTTGTCAAGGACGACCATAAACACACATCGGTCTTTATTATTGTCCCAGTTGGAGAGCCCCACTAATGTTAGACATGAAGCTCTGTTTTCTTATCATGGGGTGTACTGTTCAACCTGTGGAAATAGTTGTCATGTCTAATTGTCGGTCTAATGTCGAAGAAAATCACCCAAATGATGTCATCAGGGTCAATCCCGGATTAGGTTACATATATACATTCTAGTCTAATGAAAGAAGTTGAGCAGCATTATGGGAAATGTAGGATCCAGTGGTTTTGGTGCTTGAGGGACTAAATACCACCGACCTGACTGGGCCAGATGGTTTGTTAACACAGAACCACAGCGGCATCTACGCTAGCCTCTTAAGCAGCCGCCATTGTTGTTTTTGACAGTCACTTCTCACACAGGCCGTCACACACACCTAGTGTTAGCCTGTAGCTCATGCTGTAGCTGCCAGTTGTTCCTTACAGGATGCTGGTTGGTCTGAACCACTGTGGTTGGACACGTAGCTTGAAGCCTGGCAAGATGCATTCTTGTGTGATCCTGTGAGTCCAGCTGCCTCTCAAGAGCACAACACTACCACTACCAACTCATACAGAGGCTCCTTCCTACACCACACTTCCTACACTTTTTTACAGTTTGTATGTGTGTGTATTGTATATAGTAGGGGTGTAAAGATGTACCGATATGAGTCGGAAGTCGGTTTTAACATTATAGATGTGATTACATCGGTACGCGACTCCTTGGATTGATCTAAATGTACCATGAACCGGTTGATGGTCCGATTCTGAAGTTATGCAATGGTTTTTTTGGGGGCAGAGAGAGGGGATGATACGCAGCAAAGGGCCACAGCTCGGATTCGAACCCTGGGCCACTGCCACTGGACTCAACCTCGGTACATGGGACGCCAGCTCTACACAGTGAGCTAACCGGACGCCCAATGTCGACAATGCCAACACGATTAACAGTGCACCATCAAATCTAAAACCTAAAGTTTGAAAGACATTTGGATTCTATAAGAAGGAAGGACAGTTGGACAAACATCTAGCCAGTGTAAGATCTGTCAGACAGCGTGTAGTACAGTGGCAGCAGACAAGTCTTAACACTCAGCTGGTCAGACGATATGTTGGCAGCTGTGCAGGCCACGAGTATTTTGAGTATGCTACAAACAAGAACACGCAAGACACAGATATTATAACTGGGCGAGGTCTAATGTAATGTCTTTGTTGTGTCTGTTGAAAAAAAGCTCTAAACACAATGACATGGAATTCTCAAATGAGACATTTGTCTTCCATTTTTTTCCCATTCCATAAAGAAAAACATACTTGGGATTCCCTTGTATTGTATACACTTTTGTATTTGAAGGTAAGCAATGTCACTTTTATTGAAATGCCCTATTTTAATTTAGAATGGAAAATGAATATCTAATCAAATGTTAAGAACTTTTATCAGATTGCATCATATACGTATCAGATCGTCTTAGAAGGGAGAGATGCAACCACTAGTATATAGTTACTTTAAGTGAAGGTTGATCATTATCATTTATTGCTGGACTGGAGTTTACAACAGGACCTCATAAAGTTCTCCCCTCACTTACGGGGTTGGGTATTGAAGCTCAGTACTTTTCGGCATCAGTTATGGAAACTCTGAAACGCTTGTTTGAATTCTTAATCTCATTTATTATGATTTATTTATTGGTTATGTATTCCAGAGCAGCCTTTGTCTCTATGAAACGTCAGATTCAGTGACAGCTTATCAATCTGACTGCATGTCTTCCTGTTAGTGTGGAAAAAACATGCAACCTAAAATAAGTGTGGGGCTGACACTGTGTGTGTTGCACGCGTCCTTTCTGAGAACGCGTCGGGTTGATTTATGTGTGATGAGTGTGTTGACTGACTGCATACCTACACAGGACTTCATGTGTGTCTTTGAGTGTTATATTTGTCTAAAGAGAGTTATCTTTGTAAACCGATGGAAAAACTCACACACACGCCATGGTATGTGGACAGGCTGTCTTAAACACGTAACTGTCATTCCTTTAAGACCTCCTGCACAAATGTAAAACAACACTCATAAAAGCTGATGTCGTGAAGGTCACACTGTCACTGGAAGCGGACAGAAAAACTGACATATGAATATAACTCCACTGTTGTGTTTAGTTAAAGCAACAATGTTTTTAAGCCTGTAAAGCAGAAATAGGAAAAGCTACTTCCCCTTGCAGCTTCCAACAATAGCCACGACCTTGGAAATACTACAGAGGAAGACCAGAAGGCAGTAGAATGTAACTAAGTACATTTACTCAAATACTGTACTGGACTTACACTT